TGTCAATATTATTCCTGATCAGAAACCTGAAACCTAAGATATTGTTTTGCAAAATTTCCTCCGTAGATGCCCTCCATCACGTGGCCACACTCCCCTCCAGAGGCTGATTTCGGACGCTGCAAGTCTTGCGAATGATGAAATTCAATAGGATTAAACGGATCTCACCTATTAACTTTGGTGAAAATGCCATACTGCCCAGGCCGTCTCATGGAACAAGCACCTTTCTGGAAAAAGTGACTCACAATCCCTTCCATCGTCCAGTGGCTGTCCTGTGATGTATTGGAGAAGAAGACCATGGGACTCCCAGAGTCCCCAGGACACACTGTTCGAAAATCTGCACAGAAGAAAATATCATGATTATTGCTTTATTCATTTAAAAAACAATTGCAGTGAAGAATCAGTGGTACTAAAAATGCATGAAGAAATCTAATGACAATACGCAACTCAGCGTTAACCCATTTGAGTAGTTATCTTTACAGTTATAGGCCATCTTTATAGTAATCTGCGATGTCACTACCGACAAATGGCAAGCTCGAGCGGTAACTGCATGAACCAGTTAATGCTCTCCTTGTGTACAATAGATTCACATCAATAACTCCTACTCGTTCATGTATTCAGTGCTTCTATCAAGTTCTTCATGGAAATAGCCTGAAAGAGTTGTCATTATTTGCACATCTGAGGTTTCCCCCCTTTCTCGAGTCTTGGCAAAAGGTACTATCTGGTCTGCTGTCTCTTCCCCAGTATATAATACTGACTTTTCTAACCTCCCGCAGTCGTTGATTGATCGCCGTAACGCGCATATACTGGAAGAACGTTTTCCAGAGAATTCCGAGCACTGCATAGGAAGTAAAGTTGTGGGATGCGCGTATGAGGCGACCTTCTTTCATATTGGCAACAATGGATTCCTTCAATTCCTGCATTGCGATGGATTCTTCGGAAGTGTCATCTTTAATTACCATAAGTAAACCGGCCGAGAATATTCCCCATAGGAGTTCCCACGCGAAAGAGGAAAAAATTCTCACCTTCACTCTTGCAATTTGTTCGTTGGATTCTTAAAGTGATTCTCACTTTGCATATCATGCACCCTCTGCTTCAATGCTGGGGTAGGTAGGCGGACGCACGCGTGTTCACTAACATTTAAGAGGTTTCACAAAGGACGAAGCTTGTGTGTGGAATTGGGAAGAGCTGAATTGACAATTTCAGAATGCATTTATACGAATTTAACGCAATCACGGACCATACCTTCAATAGGAGTATCCGCGGAAAAACCAGCGCAGAACATATTTGAGGTGAGGGTACGAGTGACGCCGGGGTCTCCCGTGTAATTGCGGGTGTCCCGAACACATTTGCGATTGGATATCACTGGGAGTTGAACCTCTGTCAGGACAGCGGCGAGTTCATCCGATCCGTCATGACCCCAACCAGCCACCTGCATCATTACGCAATCGAATGAGAGGGCATGCAACAAGTACACTGAAGGTTAAACTCTAGGCAGAGATATTAATATATTTGGTGTCTTACCCATCCTGGCACTCCACTGTCGAGGTTCGCCTCAGATAAATCAAATCGGTTCGGGAGACATACCAACTGAACTCGAGCCGTTAGCACAGCAGGTCTTCCTAGTTTCAATAAAGCTATATCCGAGTCGTAGTTATTATGTACGTTGAAGTCCCTGTGCAAGATTATGTGAGACACCTGCAAGGAGATTGCGTAAAGACCGGCGCAGAACATATTTGAGGTGAGGGTGCGAGTGATGCCGGGGTCCCCCGTGAAATGAACGGTGTCCCGAACACATTCGCGATTGGATATCACCGGGAGTTGAACCTCCGTCAGGACAGCGGCGAGTTCATCCGATCCGTTATAGCCCCAACCGGCCACCTGCATCATTACGCAATCGAATAAGAAGGCATGCAACACGAATACTGAAGGTTAAATTCTAGGCAGAGATATTAAGAAATTTGGTGTCTTACCCATCCTGGCACTCCACTGTCGAGGTTCGCCTCAGATAAATCAAATCGGTTCGGGAGACATACCAACTGAACTCCAGCCGTTAGCACAGCAGCTTTTCCTAGTTTCAATAAAGCTATATCCGAGTCGTAGTTATTATGCACGTTGAAGTCCCTGTGCAAGATTATGTGAGACACCTGCAAGGAGATTGCGACAGTTTGCATAATCAGGAAAGAATGGATGGAAACTGGAAAATGTTAGGCTACTGAACTTGTCTGATCTGTACCTGTTCGTCTTTTTTGATGTAAGACCGGAAATGCTTCCCAAGGTAAACAAAAATTTCTTCAGAGTGCCGAGTTCTGATGGTACCATCTACAACGGCACAATGGGCAGCTGTTAGCACCCAATTCTTCCCTGATGAGAGCCCCTCCACATACAACATCTCCAATCTTGATGTCATATGGCCGCTTGCCATGGCCATTCTCCAATTTCAGATGGATTTCCTCCTGCGGATAGTTGAATTTGACTTGGCTTCTTTCCGCATACTGCGTATAGAACGGTACAAATAGAGTCATTCGGAAATAGCAGAGATGTGTCAGGTGAATAGGGAATATGGTAGTAAAAGAAACCGACCTGGCTTACAAAACGGGGTGGGTCCGGTCCATTCTCCATCTTCCGCACATCTTCTGAATTCCGGTCCCTGCAGTTCATAATATTTCTCGCATATGTATCTAACGATGCTCGAAAATGCATAGCTTTCATCTTGAATGCAGCTAGCATTGCTTCTTTTAGCAATTTCTTCAGATGGACTGCCACAAGACTCGATAGTAAAGGATCCATGTTGAATGGTGCTGAGTTGTCCGCATCCGATCACTCCGCCTGTTGGCGAAGAAAGATATAGTTGAGAGGGTTGTTGTTATGACCGGAGCAACATTGAATGCTTCCACTGAGTTCGACTCATACACCGTCTGTAATTTTACCTGTTTCCATAAATTACATCTGCACGGTTTTTCCCTTATTATTTTCCATGGGTTTCTTTAAGTGTTTAAGGACTCCTGGACATATGACCAGTCAACATAATTGTTGGGAAGTTGTTACCTCTCTATAGCAATAGGTACCTTAGGATTGAGTTTTCTTCACGACAAAGACCGTGAATAAATTTCATCATGCGGCCATATCATGTATGAAATGTACTTATTTTCTGTAAGACACAGAAGATTTGAGGGCTGAATTTCTAACTATTTGATCATAGAGAATACTGATGGCGCTCTGATATTTTGTATCTCAAAGGAAAATGCTCAGGTTAACGGGGTTTTGCAGTGAAATCCCAATTTTGATGAATAGGATGACACGATTCTATCGTTTATAAGAGAAAAAATGACTTCAAACAAGTGTGCATGGTGAAATATTTTTCAATTCCACATCAATACGAATACCTAAATTACTCTGAACTGATATGATCGCCATGGACCAGTCTATAACACTGCAAAACGGACTCTCCCTTGAATAGAGTATAAAAAAATTGTTTAGACACAATCGGGAGATTATCTTCTATGAAGCTTGATTTGCTTGCCGTCAATCTCAAAGCAAACCTGGCATCGATTAAGGACTGAGCGACAGGCCTTCTGAAATATATCCTAAGGGATGGTTTCGAACTCGTTAATAATCTTTTTTACGTAAACGCTCGCAGGAGAAAGGGAAAGTAAGAAAAGCATCATTTGTGCGAGCGAAGACATTTCTTTGTCTCTGAATTTCTCCCGGATGCAGGTCGTGCCGGATTTGTCACGGGGAAGTACGGAAATCCACTTTCGAGGCGTTCAATTCGATCGAGCCCATGTTCTTCGTTGGAAGCGGGACGGCTCGGGACGGATTCTCCCTCTCCCTAATGCATAATTTGAAACCTTACTCCTGTTCGAACACTGGGACCAGAACAGCCAATCAAACTCCACCATGGTGTCATGGTAGGAACATGGCTACCCCCGTAGCCGTTGCAAGTTCAAGCGAATCAGGCACAACACACGAATAAACAGGTCGCTGAACATATAGCTCAGTTCGAAAAGAATATGGGTCTATGGTTTTTTCAATTAAGTTGGACAGCTCAACGCAGGCCAACCTTCTCCTAACTGCCACCACTATGACACTAGGCCTATGCAATAAGAAAATATTGGTTACGCGATGGCATATGAAGAGCTGCGAAGTTAGGCCTAGGTTTCAATTAGCTTAGTGACCAATAGTCATATTTATTTAATGAAGTATCAAGAGGTTGAAGGTAATGCAAGTGAGGAATGTGAGTCTTAGTACTGGTTTGTAACGACTACGTTTTCAGTGATAATGTATATTTGGTAACATAGCATTATGGGACATTGATTTATGCATTCACCCTACATAACTTGAAGGACTGAAATACATTTTCAGAGGGAAAGTATTTTAAATCACCTAATCTACCAGTGACAAAAAGTACATAGTAGACTTTGTCAGGAGGATGTACCAGAATGCATGGGAAATGGGTTGCTCTCATGTCATTGAATGGCACTCACCAGCTGTCTGGTTCTTTCAGCATTCATTGATCCCCATGTTCTGGCAAAACTATATTTTGGAGTTGCTTGCCTTAATGTATTCCTTTTTTTAATGTCCAATAAGTGCTGCATGAATGAGCATGAAGATGCTTCCTTGCCAATGTCCCAAGGTTAGCACTTTATCACATCCAGGCTCTTCATATTTTCTCCTAAAGGTTCCAATTACACCCAAGTGCCATCAACTTCTCCCCTTAACCCTGACTCTAAATCAAATCAAACTATCCTGAAATTTAATTAGATGGCAGATGCTTAAGCTGATTGTAAAGCCTTTTGAAAGGGTGAATCCAGCTATTTAGCTGCTTTTTAGTAAATATATGGGCCTATGGTTTTCTCACTTAACTTGGACAGCTCAACACAGGCCAACCTTCTAACTGCCACCACCATGACACTAGGCCTATGCAACATAGGAAAATCTTGGTTACGCGATGGCATATGAAGAGATGCGAAGTTAGGCCTAGGTTTCAATTAGCTTAGTGACCAATAGTCATATTTTTATGAAGCATCAGGAGGTCGAAGGTAATGCAAGTGAGGACCCAGTTTAAAATCCCAACTGGAATATTCCAGCTGGCAAAAAGCTGGAAAATAGTAGGTACCAGTTGTTGAAAACTTCTTTGGGCTAGGGTTAAGGGGAGAAGTTAACTTCTCCTTAACCCTAACCCTAAATCAAATCAAACTATCCTGAAATTTAATTAGATGGCAGATACTTAAGTTGATTGTAAAGCCTTTTGAAAGGGTGAATCCAGCTATTTAGCTGCTTTTTAGTGAACAACTCATGTATGAAATGGATTGTCTTGCTAATTTTTTTAAATTTTATGTAACCAGAGCAAATATGGGAGTGAAATTCAAAGAATATCTCTCATTTGTCCAAAGGAGGATTTTTTTCTCCTAAAGGTTCCAATTACACCCAAGTGCCATCAACTTCTCCCCTTAACCCTAACCCTAAATCAAATCAACCTATCCTGAAATTTAATTAGATGGCAGACACTTAAGTTGATTGTACCTTTTGAAAGGGTGAATCCAGCTATTTAGCTGATTTTTAGTAAACAACTCATGTATGAAATGGATTGTCTTGCTAATTTTTTTTAATTTTCTGTAACCAGAGCAAATAAGGGAGTGAAATTCAAAGAATATCTCTCATTTGTCCAAAGGAGGATTGGGAAAAGGAAAACAACTCATGTAATTGTTGATGGAAGTTAAAAGAAGAAATGATCCCTTGTGGCTTGTGTGTCTAAAAATTTATCTTATGAGAGTCATATGGTGCAGGACATGAATGGATAACCTTATGCATGCATCCAGGCATTCTTTGCATTGGGTGTCTTCCCCACACTGTTTTAAAATATATATGCAAACTGAAGCTCCACATCATGTTTCTTGATCATAGAAGAAATGATCCCTTGTGGCTTGTGTGGCTAAAATTGTATCTTATGTGAGTCATATGGTGCAGGACATGAATGGATAACCGTATGCATGCATCCAGGCATTCTTTGCATTGGGTGTCTTCCCCACACTCTTTCAAAATATATATGCAAACTGAAACTCCACATCATGTTTCTTGATCACAAAAAGCATGTTCTTCCTCAGACATATTTAGTGTTCAGTATTGACATTTTTTCCTGCCTATTTCTAATCGTTCTTGGTTAATTAGTAAAATTCAATTGGTGAAGTTTATTTTATGCATCCAGTTTTATTCCCAATGAATTTTTTATCATCATTGTCCCTACAGTTTCCTTCCATCATTCCGCGAAGATAAACCTCGGAGAGTTTAGGAAATTAAATAGGCTATGCTGCAAATGTGAAAGGATCCTACACTAGATTTGAAATTTGAATTCGTAAACAATTTGCCGATTACGAAATTAGCATTGCTTTTGATTGCAAAATTGATGCAAACCTACACCTACCGTTGGGCCTACTCGGTAAACTCATCCTGGCAACATGATAAGATTGGTCTGCCTTGCTCTGGTGATGTACGGCGGGAAAACCCAAGTCCAACCAAGAGCTACTCAAAAACATTAACTCCCTGCT